CTTGGGTTCAGAGAAACGGTTAAGCTGACCGGAATGGGGGAAACTCACTAGTTGAAGCCAGTGGTGTATAAATCGTGCTCTGGCAGATGGACCACGTGGTTGTTGTGGAAAAAAATATCTGGTTCCTGATCCTGATCCTGGGAGAGGGCCTTGGGGCAGGAGAGTCTCACAACACCAATGAAATTACCTGGCGTGCGTAAGAAGGAAACATGGAACATGCGACAAACCTGCTTAGGAGTTTATTAGAGGGGGCGTGTACAGGCCTGGGGAAGTCAGTGTGCAGAGAGAGAGAGAGAGAGAGAGAGAGGAAGATGGCGCATCCAGCTTTTAAAAGCTGCCTAGCGCATGTGCACAGGGAGTTGACGTGACTACATCATATGAAGATGACGGGGCTGAGACCTTATTTAAGGTATTCTACAGGGAGACCTCGACCCTCTAAGTTAAATCCTTAAAGGGGAAAGTGATCCAAATTCCAATAGACAGCTTTCAGAAGCTGCCAGGCAGATACTCTCCCAGGTAGAGCATGCTGTACAAAAACAGCAGATACATTATATAAATTATGAGAAACCATGGCAAGCATGTATATTACCTAAAAAACTTGCCCCTACAGTGGTTTTTTGGCAAAACGAGCCACTCTTATGGATGTATCTTCCCGTATTGCAGCTAAGGTATTAAATCCTTACTTTGAAGCAGTAGCTTGCTTAGCACAGAAGAGCAGGATAGAATCTAGGAGGTATTTTGGCAAGGAACCAGCTATGTTCAATGGTCCTTACACTAAGCAACAAATTGAATGGTTATTCCAAAATAGTGATTCTTGGGTAATTGCGTTTACTCGATTTCAAGGCCAGATTAATAATCTTTTTCCAGCTGACCTGTTGCTGCAGTTTACACAACTGCATTCCTTCATTTCCCCTAAAACTGTAGCAAAAGATCCTTTAAAGGGTGCTTTGTTAATTTTCACTGATGGCTCTTCTAATAGGAGGGCTGCATATGCGGTTAATGGTAAGGGACCTGCAGTGCAGACAGAACCAGCCTCGGCTCAGATAGTTGAGCCGCAAGTTGTGGCAATAGTGTTTCAACACTTTGCACATGAGGCTTTTAATCTATATACTGACAGCTGATATATTTTGAATGCTCTTCAGGTCCTAGAGACCATCCTTTATATCAGGACTAGCAATAAACAAGTTAAGATGCTATTCCAGCAGATTCAAAATGCCATACGACAAAGAAAGTTACCATATTTTGTGAGACATATCAGAGCACATCCAAACCTTTCCGGTCCGTTAGCTGAAGGTAATGCTTTGGTTGATAAACTTACAACAATAATTGTTCTATCACAGGTTGAACTTGCTCAGCAGTCACATGCTTTGCACCATCAAAAATAGTCTAAGTTTACGAAAGTAATTTAAATTAACAAGAGAAGCTGCTTGCCAAATTGTTAAGCAATGTGAGCATATGCCCACAATATTTACTTGGACCTCATTTGGGTTAAATCCCCAAGGACTACTTCCTAATCACATATGGCAAATGGATGTTACTCATGTCTCAGAGCTTGGAAAATTGAGGTATGTGCATGTGACAATTGATACATATTCAGGATTCTTGATGGCCACTACACAAACTGGGGAAGCCACCAAGCATGTAATAACTCATTGGTTAAAATGCTTCTTAGGTATGGGATTCCCAAAAATAATAAAGACGAATAATGGATCTGGATATGTTAATAAAGTGTTTCAACAATTTTGTGTCCAATGGAGTATCAAACATTTGACTGGTATTCCTTATAATCCTCAAGGGCAAGGAATTGTGGAGCGGCTCATAGTTCCTTGAAGACACAACTTCAAAAGATAAAAACAGGAGAATTATATCCTCAAATGCCACATAATGCCTTAAATTATGAGCTGTTTATGCTAAACTTCTTGAATATGGATGTCAGTGAGTGATGAGTGACAGACAGATTATGTCATAATGGCATAAAAGTGACCTTTGCTAAACCAAAGTGAAGAGACCCTTGCACTGGAAAATGGAAAGGTCTCAACCCTGTATTAATTTGGGGTTGAGGATATGTCTGTGTTTTTTCACAGGATGAGGACCAAGCAAGATGGCTTCCACATGCCCGGTTCGATGTGTCCAGCAGAAGAGCACCAGACCCAATGACATCATAGCTGCTATTGTCCCATGGAGGAGTCAGAGTGAAAGTCCATGTTCCCACCTTCCCTGACCCTACGGAGAGGAGTGCCTGATCCACGGGACCTGCTGCCACCATTCTGCACAGCGGACCCCATCCTACACTGCAGGATGCGAGGCTGCTTCCAGACACTAGGGACCCGCACAGCCAGTGAGACATTGCTGCAAAGGCTGCGATAATCACAACTTGCTACAGTGTGAATCTTGTTTACTTTGGAACCAGACGAGAAACACAGAACTCAGATTGCCAATGAAGTATTCAGTTGGTTGTTAAAATGTTAAGAGAACTTGAGAACTGAGATGTCAATTTATCCCTTAGGGGAAAAAGCCCTCTTCATTTATGAAGAGGATAACCTAAGCTTTTTTGTTTTTTTGTTTTTTCCTGACTGGGACAGTTGCTTAAAAGCAGCATTGCATTTGGACTCTTACCCATTACAAAAATCTTTTCTTGTCTTCTGGTTAGAATGGATTTAAGAGGATCATGATTTGTTAAGTTGTGTTATGGTATTGATCTGTTGATTTAGTTCACTATAAGCTGTTAATGATTAGAAAATGATTGAAACTTGTCTAAGAAAAGTTTGACACTAGCAATGAATTATTGAATTTTATGTTTGATAGGACAGATTTAGAGTTTGATACAGCTGAATACTCTAGACCAATTCACATGTGGGCATTCCTAACCATGGTGATCCTCCATTTTCCTTTCTTTTTTCTTTCTTTCTTTCTTTCTTTCTCTCTCTCTCTCTCTCTCTCTCTCTCTTTCTTTTTTTGTGTTCCAAGACAGGGTCTCTCTGTAGCTTTAGAGCCTGTCCCAGAACTAGCTCTTGTAGACCAGGCTGGCCTCGAACTCACAGAGATCCGCCTGCCTCTGCTTCTCAAGTGCTGGGATTAAAGGCATGCACTACCACCACCCAGCGAGTCTCCATTTCTTTAATTAGGATAAATTATAGCCATAGACGTATGCATAGCACAAAGTATTATCTCCTAATTGCTAATGAACTGTCTCTTGACAGAAACCTGGCTGGAAGACACACAGCCCAGCACTTTCTCTTTAACCCTTTGTTTACAGAAGTCAGCAGTCAAGGATGGGTTTTGATCCTTTCTCCCCAGGCGCCTAAGACATGGACTTGCATGACTTAGAATGTATGTTCCAAAGACAGGCAAGACTGGGAAACGGGAAAGTGTTCATCCCAAGGCAGACGCTATCTGTCCTGTTGCAGAAGCACGGGCTTTATAAAATTTAATAAAAAAGGGAGGAATTGTTGAGGCCCACAGAGGCCAAAGGTCAGAGAGTTTGGGACTTGTTTCTTGTTCATTCAAGGTTATTGTGCTTCTAATTCAAACAAAGGTCCCACCTAGTAGTAAATCAGAGTTTTGCTCTCTCAAGGCTGTTGTCAGCAGGTGTGGCTAGTTGCCAGACCTCGTACTCTGGGATAGGGAAGTAGGGGGATCCTGCCTAAAGCAAAGGTCTAAGGATCCATCTAAGCTCTAGTTCCCTTTATGAAAATAGGGGATTCCACCCAGGGAGTGGTTTGCCTGCGTTTGGTCTATGTACTCTGTGACTTTCAATTTGTATGTTAATGCAGTCTTTTGTTTTACTCCAACCTTTTGGGGTTAGGGGTATAGTAAACACAGGCGAATTTTCGGCACTCACTGAAAAATTCCCTCCCGATACTATCCTCTATGTTTCTGCATTTTATTATTTTTGTTCATGTCTTCGTATTCTTTACTATATTTCTAAATTCCCATGCCTCTACTCTGGAGAAAGGTATTTTTGTCGAGGCTGGCCCCTGACAGTTCACCAGTCTTCAGTCTTCTGTGAAGAGCAGCAAGCATTCCTAACTGCTGGGCCATCTCTCCAGTCCCATTAGTCATTTATTTATTTTAGGTGTATGGGTGTTGTGGGTGCATGTATGTCTGTGCACCATATCCATGCTTGGTATGCCTAGAGACCAGAAGAGGGTGTCAAATCCCTGGTACTGGAGTTACATATAGTTGTGAGCCACCATGTGGGTGCTGGGAATCAAACACTGGTCACCTGGAAGAGCAGCCAGTGCCTTTAACTACTGAGCTACCTCTCCAGTCTCAGTTTTTTTTTTTTTTAAAGACAGGTTTTTCATGTTGCTGAGATGGTCTTGAACTTCTGCCTCTATTCCTCAGGTGCTGGGAGCAAAGGCATCTACCACCAGACTTTAGGTTCCCAAAGTGCTGAGCAGCCCCATTAATCTAGTCGAGAAATGAGTGGAAATGAAAGACCTGGATAAATCCAGACCCCTCCAGCAGGAAAAATAGATCCAAAAAAATCTAATCTAGGTTAGCTCGTTCAGTGACCCTGCTTCAGGAACTAGCTGAAGACAAAGTTAGATTATAATCTTGAGAATAATCTTGAGAAACAGGAGTTACCTCCTTGTGATTATCACTGGTATTTTCGGGATTTTTCAATGATGACGCCCTCCCTACCTCCTTTGGATTACTGGGTTGTGGTTTCTTCCTTGAAATACCCCTTCTCCCAGCTACTCGGGGTTGAACTCTACCCCTGCGTGGGAAATGAGTTTTGGCCCCAGTGCACTGGCCCTGTCCTGTCAACAAACCTTGTGTGATTGCAGCAAGGACGGTCTCTTGTGAGTTCCGGGGTGGGGGTGGGGGGCTGCGGTCGTGTTATCCTGAGACTTGAGTGAGAATCTCCCAGCTCCGGAGGTCTTTGAAAACAAGCAAAATAAAAGGAAAAGGAAAACAAACTCTGCAGGATTGGGATATGAGTGAAACCAGAGAAATACACGTGAAGGATGCCAGGGAAGCAAGGGACAAGGAGCTCTTCAAAGGCCACTTTATTGATAGAGACGAATCCAAAGGCCGATCTCCGCAGCCCTCCCCTCACTCTGTTAGCGGCTTCACTGGGCGTCTGAGTTGGGTGTAGCCTGTCACTGGTTTGGGCTGGCCTTACACAGCCAGCTTCACGCCGCCTGCTTCAGGTCAGGCGGCCACATTCAAAAACACATCACAGCTCACAAAGATCCGTGGACAATCTTGGAATCCCCCCGACAGTTTCTGTACATCCTCCTCTTTGTAATATTGTACAAAATACGTTAACTAGGACAGGTTAGCTGTGCTGTGCCGGCTGCAGCACTTCTTCTTGAGGATCACCATTCCTCAAACACGACCTTTTATTGCAGGGAAATCTCTAAAAGTTGTTGCTGTACAAAAAGAAAACTCTAGACAATTTGAAGAAGAGCAGCCACTTAACACTGCTTCAGTTCATTTAAATTTTCTTTCCCAAAAATACATTCCTAAATATACAAACTATACAATCTTGTCATTTTAATGCTGGTTTTTTTGTGTGTGTGTGTTTGTTTGGTTGGTTTTGTTGTTGTTGTTGTTGTTATGGTTGCTTTGTCATTGTTTAAATATAACAAGAAAACCTGAACTAAAAAGTCTGTCAGTCTTCAAACCAACAAGAGCGCTCGGGGACTTGTGACTGGGTACCTTCATATACTGCCTCATAAATAACTTTAGCCACAGTCAACCTTCACAGCATGGTCCGTGCAACAAAGAAATACTTTTCTGGTGGTCAGACGTCGTCTGCAGAGAGAGCTGGGATGTTCATCCGGGGCCGGGTGAAAAATGCCATCTTCTCTCTGTGATGGAGAACAGGTATCTCACGCTCACTTGGAATATACATGGACAAGAGACTTTCTGTTTTGGGTCTGAAACTCAGAGCATCATATATGCCAAGCATACAGTCTGCCGCTGAGCCACATCCCCATCCCTGGGCTGGGCCCTTCTTTGTTTATATACTGTAGAATATTTAGTGACAGCCCTGACTACTAGTAAACGCTCTTAGCATGTCTGAACTCTGGCTGTGAAATCTGAAACCCAGCACTTGGGAGGCAGAGACAGGTGAATCTCTGTGAGTTCAAGGCCAGCCTGGTCTACAGAGCGAGTTCTAGGACAGGCTCCAAAAAACTATAGAGAAAGTCAAAACAAAAACAAGCAAACAAAAAAAAAAACCCAAAAACCAAAAACAAAATGAAAAACAAAACAAAACAAAACAAATGAATACATAAATAAATGACTCAATCAATCAATATCAATCAATCAAAAATCTGTGGACTCTAAGCATGGTGGTACATGCCTCTGGTCCTAGGACCATAAGAGGCTGATGGAGAAACATATCTTGAGTTCAGGATTTTGAGGCCTTAGCCACATAGACCCATCTTTAAAAAAAAGTATCAACATTGCCAAAACACCCAGGTTGGCCTTGAACTCATAATATGGAGTTCGACTCTCCAAGCCTTTGTTTTGGGAGGCCCAGGCCAGATGGCATTTGTGACCTTCCTCTGACATGTGTAGGCCCAGCAAGGCAAGGACACAGCGGTGATCCTCTCAGGCAGGCAGGCAAAGTCAGGAAATTAGGTGAGCAAGCATAGCACCCCGCTCTCCCCGCCTGCTTTATCACCAGGCAGGCCTCTGCAATTACCAGGACTGGAAAGGCTAAGAGGAAAAGATGAAGCAGGTGGCTCATTCATTAAACAACATGATCTCACAAATTGGGCTGAGTTGTGCGGGGACCGGTAATGGCAGCACAGTGGTCGCAGCACTAAGGGAACCTGGCCGAGACGGAACAGCTGTTCCGGCGCAGGCGACAGCTCTACTAGCAACAGAGGCGTGCCCGGGAACAGGGTGTGGGCAGGGCGAGGCCAGCAAAGACAGGCTGGCTGGGGAGAGGAAGCCATCAGTCTGGGATCGCCGGCTCACCTGAAAGACTGCACTTCCGGTGGCTCCTTGCAGCTCTGGCCGCGAAGCCTGCGCACGTCCTTGGCGGCCGCCCTCATCATCTTGTCTGTTTGCAGCTCGCTCTTGTGCTCTGCACGATCCACCTGTGAGGCAAAGCAAACGAGGGTTGGGCACGGGAGAGAGTCCTCTGCTCTGTAGGGCTTCCTACCAGCCAATGGAGACAGAAGGATAACGGGCTGGGCTCACATTATCAGCCTATGAGGCCTGATATGGGGCCAGGAAACAGAGTCCTGTGTGTGCCTGCAGGAAATGAGACGAGAGATGCCCAGTGTAGTGTACTTTGGCACCCGCTCCTCAGGTGTCTCGAAGGGGAGATTTTACCGTTGTTTCAGTTTTACAGACCAAGACTCCGATTGGGTTGCTTGTCTCAGAGACAGGGTTTCGCTTTAGCTTATTCTAGACTAGAACTCACTATATGGTCTAGGCAGGTGTTGAGCTCCTGGTCATTTTCCTCCTGCTTCAGCCTTCTGTTAAGTGCATGGATTACCTGGATGAGGCTCTTGCAACATCCGATGAAGGATTAATGGTGAGGGGCACTGAATCATAAGCACTCACACAAAAACATCAGTGATAGGGCTGGAAAGATGGTTAGGAGCGCCGGGCTGCTTTTCCAGAGGGCCTGAGTTCAATTCCCAGCACTCACATGTCACACGGCAGCTCTCAGCTGTCTGTAACTTACGGTTCAAAGGGATCCGGCACCCTCACACAGACAAAACACCAATGCACGTAAAGTAAAATAAATAAATAGATAAATAAATAAATCTTTTCCCTTTAATATTTATTTATTTATTATGTATACAATATTCTGTCTGTGTGTCTGTCTGCAGCCCAGAAGAAGGCACCAGACCCCATTACAGATGGTTGTGAGCCACCATGTGGTTGCTGGGAATTGAACTCAGGACCTCTGGAAGAGCAGGCAATGCTCTTAACCTCTGAGACATCTTTACAGCCCCCCCCCCAATAAATAAATCTTAAAAAAACAAACAAACCATCAAGGATACACACCTGTAGCGCCAAGTCAAGGGCTTCCTGGTTCCCTGAATACCCTCTGGGGGCCTGCAGGGGCACCACAGGGCTGTGTAAAGACCGCCACTTACCCTCTTCTCCAGCATCCTCAGCAGCAGGCGGAAGCGTTCATCTCCCCGCAGCCACTGTGGCAGCTCCTTCTCCCCGTGGTTCTTGGCTTGCTCCAAATGCTCCTTTAGCTCCTTCAGCACTGAGATCTCCTGAGTCAGCTGGCTGTGCCAGGTCCTCGTCGCCTGTAGGTCTAGTTCCAGGTCCAGCGAGGTGCGGATCAGGCGCTCTGTGCGCACGGACTTGACTGACGAAGGCTGCAGGGGTGGAGACGATGCCCACGTCCACCAGAGGGCTCAGCGCAGAAATCCCAAAGATCCTCATCCCCTGGACCCCAAGACCCACCTTCCTTTGTGTGAAGGCACCCCCTTCTTACAGAACATACTCTCACTGTCAAAGAGCGTGCGTCTGATGTACAAGGCACGCTACCTCAGTTACCCCGTTTCACAGCAGCCCTCTGAGGGCCCAGCTGTCACTGTCTGCTCTTACCTACTGAGTCATTTCCCCAGCCCCCCCCCCAAGCAGAAAATAGTTGAATAAAGAAGTTCTAGAAATAACTATCCATGCTTGGAAGAATCAAGCACAATGTCATCTTCTACCCGGTCCACAACCCAAGCAGAAAACATTGGTAAAGCCAAGTGGACCAGCCCTTTTTTAAGTGATACAATGAACAGGGTGGGGAAATTTTGGGTTAAGTTCGTGGATAATGAAGGTAAAAATCATTTCTATTAAAAATGATCTCAATATCTGGAGAGGATGGTGAGTTTAAAAAAAAAAAAGAAGTTCTAGAATATTCTTCCAGATCGAACACCTGTCTACCTGTCTTGCTATCATGGTGCATGTGCAGGCATACCCAGGAATGCATGTATGTGTACACATGGCGCACATGTAGAGGTGAAAGGACAATTTTGTGAAGTTGGTTCTCTCCTTAGACGTTTGCACGGGTTCCCAGGATTGAGCTCGGTCATCAGGGTCGTGCTGCAAGCCCCTTCACAGGCAGACCCATTCCGCCCACCCTGTCCCGCGCCCTCTCCTTTTCCCCTGACACGCCCGTGGCTATCCACAGGCTCTCCAGAAACGAAGAGCACCAGGCACACAGAGCTCCCAGGTGAATCTTACCCGCTTCATCCGGACGCTCCGACGCTCCAGGGAGTTCCGAACAAACGGTGGCTTCTTGGACAGAGTGGAACTATCACTGTCACTTCGATTCAGCTGCAAGAGAGAAACCAAACCAGGCGTGGTAACAGGGCGCTCTGGACGGTTCAGCAGGAGCAGGAAGGGGATGATCACCTTCTTGAACTCGAGCCGGTCATTGAGCTTCCTATTCCAGGCTATGATTTGAGCTTCCCAACCTTTGAAAGTGGCCGGTCACTAAACACGCACTAGGTTTGGAGTGTGCTGTTCTTGTTCACAGTTCTCGCCACATGGTGCTAAACGAGATGGGGCATCTTGTTGCACCCTCATAGCGCCGTGTGGGGACTCTCCCCATGTTCCATACAGGGCACAGATCACGAGCCACGGAACCCACCCAAAGCTGTTAAGGAGCTGCTTAGCAGGGTTTGAGGACGAGAGTACCACCAAAGGATATGCTGGCCCTCTGTCCTACCATGCGAAGGGATACTCACAGCCTCTACTCCTTGTCACCCAGAGAGCCTACCTTTAGTGTCTCAAATAGAACCACTTTTGAGACAGGTACTCGGGCCAGAGATGTAGCTCAGTGGTACAGCACATATTTATCATATGCCAGGTCTCTAGTACTGCAAGTGAAGGGATGCAGGGGGAGAAAGAGGATGCTCCAAGGCCAAGGAGCCACATCTTTACAGAGAAGGCACGTATAGGCTTGGCAAGCGTTGAGCTCAGCCGTTCTCCCCATTCAAATCCCTCTATGGGCTCAGTTTTCAAATTTCCCCAGAGGACCCCATTCTCATCTATGACAGTCTTTCTTTCTCCATCTGGTGAGGACAGGGTGATTTCTTGATTGAGACTTATTTCCAAAAGGGGCAAGGTTGACATGGGCCCCAGCACTGCACTGGCCTGGCAGCTGTCAGTTCACCGTGGTGGGACTCTACCGAGAAGCTATTAGTGTCATTATTTTCGTGACTATTTATCATGATTAAAGATAATAACATTAACGGTCCCGTGCCAGGCAGAGACTGAACCATAGCAGAAATAGGGGGACAGTGATGCAAACGGTGACCACATGGGTGGAGCCCCTGCCTCCATGTTTGGCGCCTCAGTGATAGTTTTATTCAAACATCCCAGAGAGACAAAGATGGTTTCGCAGTTCACAAGCAGAGATCCCAGATGGAAACTTCAAGGCCCAGTGTGTTACTACAGGCCCAGGCTGTGCATTGTACTGGGAAATTAATGTAGAGGAACCTATTGGTGGCAGGAGGGGCCAGAAGAGGGCCTCACACTTTATTGTTTCAACTAAAGGTGACTTTTTTTTAAAAAAAAAAAAAGGAAAAATTGTTCCAGTCTTACCCCCACCCCAGTTATCAGAACAATTGATCCTTAAGATCTGGATGTTTTTCTGTTATCAGATAGCAAGGAGACACTACATTCTTGAACTTCACTTTTTGTCTGTTTTTATTTTTGCAGATGGTCTCATGCAGCCCAGGTTGGCCCTGAACCCTCTCCGCAGCTGAAGCTGGGCTTGAATCTCCTACCTCTGCCTCCTAAGTGCTGGGATCACATGACTACACTACCAAACCAGTCTTGACACCACTTCCTCCTATTTCCCAACATCCCAATAGGTTTAACCTCACACACGGAAGAGAATCATTATTTTGTTACTGCTTTTATTTAACAAACTAGAAGAAAGGAGGCAGAGAGCATAGCAATTTCAAGTCCCAGGAAACACCAGACTCAGTGGTAGCAAGCTGATAATTCCAGATAGCCAGAAGGTTGAGACAAACGGATTACGAAGTCCGTGTTAGCCTGAGCTGTAGAGTAGGCTCAAGGCTAGCCTGGGCTACAGAATAAAACCCTGCCTCAAAATGAAAGGTAAAAGAGACTGCGGATACAGCTCGGTGGTAGCACACTTGCCTACCATAAATGAAGGCCCTGGGTTTAATTATTTTATGCTGTAAAACAATAATAGTTAATAAATAAAATTAAGGTCACAAGAAAAGACTCCATCCACTAGATCAGAATCAAAATTAACAATAACAAATGGCACAGTGTTGCTGATGCTACACAGGTGCTGTGGAACGTTGCAGGAAATAGAATCACTGTCCCTGTCTCAGCCTTAGAAATCCGTGGGGACCCCGCAACAGGGCAACTAAGCAAGTGACACGAAGCAAGGATTCAAGGAGGCCGCAGGTAGGAAGTGAGGTTGACTGGCAGAAAGTAGCAAGATTCAGAGATAGTAACCAGCATTGCACTTAGGGGCCCTGTGCCCTGAAGTCACGTAGGTGGGCTTCCGGAGACCCAGTTTTTTCATCTGCGAAATGGGTACAAATGCAATGGGCCTTGTAGTGTAGTTTGTAAGAAAACATTTTGGGGCAGTGGAGACGGTGTAGTGGGCAACAGAATTTGTTACCTAAAGTCAGGAGTGGTCACATGTGTCCCTGTAAGCCTGGGGCTCTAGGGTGTAGAGACAGGAGAATCACTGCGAGCCTCGCTATAGGTTCAGTCAGAGACCTTGTCTTAAGGGAATGGGGTGAAGAGTGATAGAACGGGACACTGAATGTCCTCCTCTGGCCTTTACATGCATGCGCGGAAGCATGGTGTGTGCTATGCACACACACAGGTGCATCCGCATCCCAACCATACACACATACGTTCACGCACTCACAAACATATCAAATCCCAACCACACACACAGTTCACGCACTCACAAACACATCATATTCCAACCACACACATGCACATCCACTCACTCACACACCGAAAAATAAAAATAAAGAAAATTATAAAAAAAACCCCCAAAAACCTCAAGAATAAAAAACCCCAAAAACCAAAAAAACATTTCCTTTCGTTGTAGCTGAAGATGCAAGATCACCACAGCACAGAAAAACCCCACTTTGTAATACTTGGTTAGAAACAATGCCCATCTCCTGGTATGGAAGCTGATGGGCCTTGTGTCTTATTTTCCTGGCCTCCCTTACAGCTAGCGTCAGGTCATCCGGTCAGGACTAGGCCGTCAATTGCTTGCGATTGTCCGAGGCTTTGAATCCCAATATAACTCAGCTTTCTACTAATATGCCTTCACATTCAGGCCTGCTAGTCCCTGTGCTGCACTCATGGACCACATTTGCCCATAGCTCAGAGAGAAGCTATCAATGAACGGTAAGCGGAGAGAATGGCAGTAGCAAACAGACTTTATATGGCCAATGGTGGCATGAAGCTGTCAGAGGCACCAGTGTAGCAGTGCCCTTGCAAGACACAGCTCCATATGGCATCAGATGCCTGAAGCCACAGACGGCACCTACCCGAGTTTACGAGTTTCCCCATGCATGCATATAAAATAATGTTTTGAGTCATAAAATAAACACAATTAGAGACTGACAATAACTTCCTATAGATCTCAGCATATGATAGGTTTTCACATATTATAGGTTTTCTTTCCTCAAGTCCGAACATTTGCCTTTTCACCGAGGAAAGACTCACAGCTTCTGGAATGCATCTCAATGACAGGGTTCCCTACTCTTGTTCTTTGTGTCACTATTAAGTAAAATAAGGGGGCTGGAGAGATGGCTCAGTGGTTAAGAGCATTGCCTGCTCTTCCAAAGGTCCTGAGTTCAATTCCCAGCAACCACATGGTGGCTCACAACCATCTGTAATCAGGTCTGGTGCCCTCTTCTGGTCTGCAGACATAACACAGACAGAATATTGTATACTAAATAAATAAATAAATATATTTAAAAAAAAAAGTAAAATAAGGATTACTGAACATAAGCATTTTCATAGCATGAAAGTCAGACTGATAACAGATGGCTTTTGTGCCTGGACGGATGGGTCAGTGGTTAAAAGCAATTGCTGTTCTTGCAGAAGACCCAAGTTCGGTTCCCAGCACCGACAGTAGGGAGCTCACGTACAGAGCTCACCCCTGTAACTCCAGCTCCAGGAGATCCAATAGCCCGTCTGGCTTCCGCAGACACCTGCACTCACGTGGCATATACTCACACGGATACGTACACGTTCATTAAAGGAGAGCTGGCTACTAAATGACTGCTGGTCTGGCTGCATGGATGAATAACACTGCTCTGATGTGCTGACGCGTTCCATCTTACCAAAATCACAACTGTATTCTAATCCTGATGGAAAATGAGTCAAACATTCATTTCCCCTGCCGTAGCCAGCCACTGATTTCCCTCGGTGTAACTTCTGATGAGTGGCATCCATTGATTTGTATTTGCTTTTCACTGCACGTTCATATCAGTCTGCAAGAACTGAGGTCTTAGCCGTTACCCTAAAGCCTTCTCTAAATCGTTCACAGCCCTCCTGATTGAAGCTCTGGTTGGGTTTGCCTCTCTACAGTCGTGAGCGGACTTAACTGTAGCACCCTTCAGTGGAAGGCAGGGTCCCCCACATCAGTATCCTGTGACTTCAGGAAACCCCACATCTCCTACAAGCTTTGCAACCCATATGAGCTTGGCCTGCATTACTCCAACAGATGTTGATCCGCTTGAGACATTAACCCAGAAGAGAAAGAAGGTCTCCATTTTCACTGGGAAGGGCTTTGGGAAGGTTTTCCGGGGGAACAAAACTGAGAGGCACCCAATGAATTGAATTTGTGTGGTTTGAGATAATGAAAAGATGAGCTTCTCTCATTCGGTCGCCTAAGTTTAGGCCTTGGAGATGGACTTCTGGGACCCCGAGAAATTCCCTTTCTTCCTCCACAACAATAGCTAGGGTAAGTGACAAAACCAGAGTGTGGTGGCTTCTCAATTAGAAGAGTAGGCAGGAAGGCTGTGTTTACTGATCCTCATGACTCAGTGGGTCTGCAAGGTTCCAGACAGGGGAAGGAATTGCAAGCATTACTTCAGTGAAGGCATGCACTTGTCTTAGACATGCTACCCTCATGGCTAGATGGGAGCAGCCGCTGGTTCCAGAGCCCAAGCAACCAGAATGACCCCTGGGACTTGGTAGGTGCTCAGACCCTCCATGCACAGCAGCATGAAAGAAGGTAGGCTGGTCCAGACAGGGTTCAAAGAGTTGGATAATCAGGAAAGAGGTGAGAACTCCATCACAGGGTGGCAACAGGAAGAGAGAGGGGGGGGGGGAGTGACCTGCAGAGCCCAGCCCTACAGAACGTGTGGCCTGAGGGTCCCACAGAGTCCCTTTTTCCACTTTTTTCACCGCCACCAAAGAACTGGAATTTAATGTCAAAATTTATTACTTTTTAATTTTTTAAACTAAACTGTTAACAAGCGGCTCAATAGCAGCCCGAAACTGGACTGAAGTAGAGCGGCTGCCTAGCATGGGAGCGGCCTAGCTTCAGCCTCAGTAACTCAAAAGCAACAAGCCAGCACCCACCATAACAGTCAGTGGTCAAGCACCTGGCTAGGTCTGTGCGGGGCTATTAGAATGTCTGAAGGTCAGAGAGATGCTCACTGGTCATTCCACAGAGAAGACTCCTGAGCTCAGCAAGGGGCCATTCCGAAGGAAGGGCAGGGTATGAACCACGAGGAAGGGAGCTCACAGGAAGTAGAGAAAGGTTGATTACAGGACTGTTTACCAAGTCTTTCCTGTTTTTACCCCCAGGACAGAGCATTAAGCGCAAGGCCTTGCATGCACTAGACTGCTAGGGAAGCAGTCTGCCATAGGTGAAATCTCCAGTCCTTGCTTATCTTTTTTGAGGGGTGCGTATGGGGAGAAGTATGGGGATGGGAGGAGGGGTGGTGGTGGGGCTTTGCAGCCCAGTCTGGTCTTGAATTACTGATATCCCTGCCCCATCAGCAATCCAAATCCTTAGGTTATAAGTAGGTGTGTAATATCACCAAACCCGTCCCTGGCTTCTGAGACAGGGTTTGCTATATATGCCAGCTAGGCCTTAAACTCAGGAGTGTCTTGCCTCAGTCTTTCTGACTCCTGGTGTCATGGTTTGTGCCACCACATCTAGCTGACTTTCTTATTCTCTACCTAAAATAGTTTTTCCTTCAGAGAAACACTTGAATTCCTTTCGAGGTGGTGTTTTATGTGCCCTAGGCTGGTCTTAAAATTGCTAGGTAGAGCCCAAGCAACTGGGCCAAAGATGACTTAGAATTCCCGATTCTTCTGCCTGTCCCTCCCAGGAGCTGGGATGGTAGGCTCATGGTACCACATCTGGAAGGGCCTACAACTTTTACAGGTGTGGGCCATCACACGCAGTCAGACACTTGTGTTCTGTCATGTTCTGTGGGACACAGAGTCGCAAAACAGTTCTGGTGCAATGCAATTAAAAATCAAAGCGGCCAGTAGCACCCTGCTGTGGCGTACACGTGCGTGCGTGTGTACACACGCAGGCGCGCACACACACAGGTCCTTTTACATCTCTGCACAAGGAGAATAGGAAGAGGAAGCAGCTGGCTAAAGAATATTCTGGGGCAGACAAGAACACCTTTCCACTTTAGACATGGCTGGATCCATCACCTCGAGTGAACCTCTTCACGGTTTTAGTCTCTGGTCATTCTCATTGTCTTGGCTCCTGAGATTCTAAAGTGCTGGCATTTTAACTCCTATGGGCTGCAGAAATGGTTCAGTGGTTAGGAGCATGAGCTGTTCTTACAGAGGACCCAGGTGACACCCAACACCCTTCTGACAGCTCACAACTGTCTCTGACTCCAGTCCCAGACGATCTGACACCTTCTTCTGGCCTCTTTAGGCCCCAGACACGCATGTGATGTATAGACACACAGGCAGGCAAAACACCCATAGATGTTAGATTAAAAGCAAAACAAAACAATCAAAAAATGAAAAACATCCTTCTAGGACCTTTTTTTTTTTTAAAAAAAAAAAAGAAATCGGGCCGGGTGGTGGTGGTGCACGCCTTTAATCCCAGCACTCAGGAGGCAGAGGCATGTGGATCTCTGTGAGTTCGAGGCCAGTCTGGTCTACAAGAGCTAGTTCTAGGACAGGCTCCAAAGCTACAGAGAAACCCTGTCTCGAAAAACAAAAACAAAAACAAAAATCCCATTAAAAAATCTATACTAAAGAATATTGGACAACCAAAAGTGGAGGAAATCCTGCACATATCTTGATAAAGTTGTTTCTAGTGTTTGCTTTTACACAGTTTCTCTAGGTAAGCCCAGGCTGACCTTGAACTCTCAAACTCTGGGCTCTCCTGCCCTAGCCACCCAGATAATGAAATCACAGCTGTGCTGGGTTGTGATCTTTAAATCATAATGCTCTTCCTTTTGACTGCAACTACATTGTCTCACGGCATCGTCTTTTTTTCTTTAAGAAGCTTACTTTCTATGTGTGTAGTATTGAGTATGTGCACACAGAGGCTAGAGGAGTATACACGGTGTCTTCCTTTACCACCCTGTGTTTTACTCCCTTGAGATAAGGTCTTTTCATTCAACCCAAAGCTTTGGCTAGGTTGACTGGTATCGAGGTCCTGGAATCCACGTGTTTCCGGGCCCTAAAGCTGAGGCGGTAGGCCCATGTGTCCATGCCTGGCTTTCACACAGATGCTAGGGGATTCTAACTCCAGTTCACAAGCCTGTCCAGCAAGGGTTCGGACCCACTGAGCCCCATGTGCCAGCTTCGTTTCTTACATCACTTACTCAATCAATCAAGAGTAAACTAGCCTATGAAGTGGGTCCATGTGCTCCACATGAGGGAAAGTGAGGTCCACGGAGTTAAACCTATCAGAGATGCCCAAGGCACACTGTGAGAGTCAGGCAGGCTATGAGAGGGACACCGATTTGTATCCGGAGCTGGATCAGAGCCCCGCTGCTCTGAGGGGAGGGAAAGGCACCATCGCTTACTTACCCGGCACACGTACTGGCTCTGGGGTCCAGGTGAGAAGGTCTTGGAGCGGATGATGGTGTTCCCTCGAAGAAATGGCCCTGTGGAAGGGGCACCCACCCGCCGGTCCTTGGGCCGCACCACTGTGGGGGATGGGGCCACGCTCTCAGTATTGGTCTCTCTGTCCACCTGAGGAAGAAGTCAGTCTTGACACGAGCGTTCACCGAGTCTCTGGGCCCTCTCTTGGTCTACTTGGCAACTCCCACTTTTGGTGCCTCACGTTTGGCCACAAGCGTAGATGAACTTCTTGGGCTCTCACCATGCTGACTTAGTCAGCTGAACCTACCAGAATGGGAACCCAGGCCAGAGCTCCCGTTCCGTTCCCACTCTTCTACAGCATGTACTGCTGGGAGCTTGAGAAAGCACCAGCTCCTGTGGGCCATGGTGGCACTCAGGTTCTGGTGTGTTGACCAGGCATGCTGACCATCCTCCCCACGTACTGAAGCACCAGCTATAAACAAGACCTTCAAGGTCCCAGTCATAACTCGAATGTTTTCTTCTGAAATCATGGAGGCAACTAGCAAACCTCTTTTTGGTTATAAGACTACGATAATCAAGCCAAGCATGGTAGTACACGCTAACAATCCCTGCACTAAGAAAACTGAGTTCAAGGCCAGCCTAGGTGACATAGTGGGACCCCCATCACTAATCAAAAAAGTAAAAGAGCAAAGTAACACTACCACCACCCCAGACCATCATAATCTCTACCAGCACACAGCAGTCACCAGCAAAAGACGGACATAGATGCTTACTTAGTCCAGAAACTATATTAGCAGGAACTGTCTCAGTACCTGCTCGAGTGTGACAAGAGCGCCCCCTGGTGCGAGAAACTGCAGAGACACTCCTTGGTGTATACAAGGCAGAAAAAAAAAAGCCCTTGGGTTTTGCTCTAGGACCCCCCGCCTTAGCTAGGCTCTGAAGAATCTGTCCCAGGGCTCTGTTCAAGAACACCACGTGCCTTAGCCGCAGCATCCTGTGAGCTCTGAGAAAAGAGATCTCCATTCCAGGCCTATGAGCAAGGCTCGTGTTCCCATGTGAATTTAAAGATGAAGAAATGGAGGCTGGGTGGGAATGAAGTCATCCACCCAAGACTACACAGGGAGGGGCAGAGCCGGGCTCTGAACTAAGACCATGTGACTGCAAAGCTTGAGATCTGGCTAGAGAGATAGGGAAGCCTCAGAGGGCAGAGGAAAGATAAAGACCCATCAGTCCCTTCTGGTGCACCGTGTCTCCAAATACGACTCGAAGTGCAGGGACAGCCACTTCTGGGCACACGGTCCACTTAGAGGGCTAACCCTGACGCTGAGAGCCTTTTCCGACGACCCAGACATTGTGATGAAATATTATCTCCCCAGACCAGTTCTGTTTACCTTTAGTGCTGGGTACTCCTCTGCCTCCGGGGAGACCTTTTCAGCGAAGACATCTTCCTCTCCCTCCTCTTCCTCTCTCTCTTCCTCCTCCTCAGCTACTGCTTCATTCTCGCTGGTCTCTTCCTCATACGTCCTATGGTGACATGATGTTGTGGTTAATTCCCCAGACACCGTTCCACCTCCACTTGCCTGCTCCTGAGTGCATCCAGACAGGATTCCTAAGACTTAGGATGGTAAGGCTATTTAACAAAAGGACCTTCAGTATAGGGCTGGGCTGTGGCTTAGAAGCACAGTATATTCCTGGAGTGTCCGATGCCCCAGATTCCACCTCTAGAACCCCAACAAAACCAATCTTTCCTTCCTTCCTTCCTTCCTTCCTTCCTTCCTTCCTTCCTTCCTTCCTTCCT